TTTCAGACTCGCTGTGGCATTGTGGCCCCGTGTCAAATTCTCTTGTTTTTTCCATTCTCTTGACCAACATAAGCCCTGTGCCTGCAGCCTCTCTGCTCTAGTGGGGGTCCAGGAAGTTCATGTGGGCTAAAGAATCGATGGGCAGCAATGATAATTGAGCAGGGATCACAACCTGGAATTGATCCGTAGTTGAGATTCAAAAGACCCGAGATCATTCTGAAGTTGTAGGCAGAGTGGGTGGACATGTGCACAGGGGGGTTGGCTTCACTAAATCCTCAGAATCAAAAGGGAGAGTGGGGCCAGAGCCCCAAGTTGAATCAGCTGTTCCTCCAGATGCCATATATGTTCAGTAGGGACTTCCACTGACTAGCCCCAAACAGGGTGCACCAGGTGGGGTGGGCAGATTTTGAAATCATAGGCTTCAATTCCAAGCGGGAAGGGACCCTCCATCTACAGAACATAATGTTTCTGATTCCAGCGTACAACCGTTTCTTCCTCCCCAAGTCAGCCTTGGATCCTACCTATAAAATGCTCAGCAAGAATTTGTGGAATGAAAAAGTACCATACACGGGTTCCCTTCTGAAAAGAACAGAAAGGAAAGGGTCTATGGACCACGAGATCACTCAACAGGAAACTCATGCATTTGGAGAAAAATAAATAAATAAGGCAAAGGCTGAATGCTAACGACCCTTAGATAAATCACACTTGATTTGAAGGTCAAGAGCATTACAATGCCCCGCTTTACGAAGGTGCACAAAGGCTGAAGCTTTGAGGAAGGGAGAAGAATTTGCAGGGTATAATTATGCACCCCCTAAGCGTCCCTGCCTGCTTTCCACACACGATGTGAAACAATGTGTCACAGTCCCATACGGTCAAAGCGGTAATTTACAAGAGTCAGCAATTCCGCAGGGCAGGTAGGCCATATTTCAAAACGGGAAAGGGAGTTGGGGGAAGCAGGGGGAGCCAACCGATCAATTTACAAAGATCCTGCTTCTCTGCCACTCTGCCGACCTTTCAGGCAAGACCCAATGCCAATTAGCTCAGTTATAAAGTCCATAATTCTTGTGGGGAAGGCCGTGTGTAGCACATGATCATTTTACAACGTTTGCCCTAATTTGCAGCCCCCAAACATGGACTCCTGGGGCTGCGAGGGGGTGCTGGGGTTGTTGGCAAGAGTCAGGAGCAGCTGGAAGGGATCACAGAGCACAATTACTGTCTGCGCATGGCCACATCTGGAAAACAGCTCCGAGCTGGCTTTAAAATAGCATTAATGAAGAATGGAACTTTGTGCTGGGAAGGACGGGGTGGGGGGTGGTGATGGGGGAAATAAGAGGGTGCCCCCTGCCCAACATGGCAGGAATGAAAAGACAACAAAGAAATCAGCAGGCAGGGAATAAGACCAAATCCAGGGAGAAAAGGATGTTGACAAGAGAGGGGCGATGGAGAATCTGGTACTTTAGGGTGATATCTCTAAACTCCCTATTTCCTGCCGTCTTGAAACCCGGGCATCTGTTCAGGGCTGGCCCTCTATACACTGGTTGAGTACACATTTGTCTATGATGTGAGATTTTAGTAGTCTCTGGGCAATTTCCAACTGAAAGAATATAGATCACCAGTACCTAATTCTAAGCATTCAGTTCTTTGGTCAGAGGCTCCTTTTTCCTGAGATGGATTTGAAAGTGCGAATGTGCCTGGAGCCTTTCTGATACCCAGCACATAGTAGTTACTCAATAAATGCTCACTAACTAGGCCCAAATTGAATGAGTCATTTTGTGACTGTGAACAAATTCATTCATTCATTCATAGCTCTGATTTCTCAGCTGCAATGTTTGCACTAGGCTGGTGACAGCAATTGCAAGGTCAGACAGAAAGGGTGGCATGTCCTTCTAAGGGATGTGTCAAGATTCTATGAGGCATTCATTGAGAAAAGGGAACATTCATTATTTAGAAATTCAATAGTATAATGTAGTTGCATATTTGAAAGAGTCTACCTTTGACTTCCGTGATACGATCTATAGAAAGAAAAACTGAACAGATTCTTCTTGGTTACGTGAATATTCAGAAACTGACCCAATTCAAAATGGACACTTCCTATCTCATCAAAATTCCGGCCATCTCTGAATCTCTAGAGGCAGTAGGAAAAAACTTATTTTATTATGGGTAAAAAAGAGTCAAGAAACTGAGTAAAGTATTGGAGGGCTCAAGTGCCAATCTTCTCCATTTGACTGCTTTGTTTCCCTTTATCATGACAGATCAGCCACTTGAGTCCCCAAAGGCTAGGGTACCTTTAAAGGGACAGCCAAGACAAATTGCAAAGAAAACAAGGATTCAGAGGTATAAACCATCCTCACCCTCTTACTCTCACCTGATTATTTGCCTGCCTAATACCACATTTTGGCTTTGCACAGGGTGGCCCACTGCCTTAATCCATGCAGACTTCCATAACAAATTACCAGAGTCCAGGTGACTTATAAATAAAATAAATTTATTTCTCACAGTTCTGGAGGCTGAAAGTCTGAGGTCAAGGGTGCCAGCATGGTTGGATTCTAGAGAGGGTCCTATTCTGGGTTTCAGATGCATCTTCTCCTTGTTAAAACCTCACTTGATGAAAGGGGCAAGATAGCTATTTAGTGTCCCTTTTGTAAGAGCACTAATCCCATTCATGAGAGGACCTCCCTCCTGACCTAATCATCTCTCTAAAGCCCCTCATCATCAACTTAAGGGGGTTGAGATTTTAACATGAATTTGGGGGATACTGGCATTCAGTCCCCAGGACCCACCTTATTGTGTTTCAGTGTTTGCCTAAAAACCCCAGAGACCACATCATAGGCCTGTAGAGATAAAAGGAGTCTTTTACACTCTTGCCCCTAAAGGAGAAATTTTCTCATTAGTGTTCCTGACAGACCTCCCTCCTCCAGCAGAGCATAGAGAGCAAGGCCTTCAAGCAGACCTGAGTTCAAGTCTTACCTTGGTCACCTACCAGCTAAGTGATCATGAGCAATTTACTTAATCATTCCTTATCTTGGTTTCCTTTTCTGCAAAATGAAGATGATGCTAAGTACCGAAATCATGGAATCCATGTAAAGATTAAACAAGATAATGTGTGTTATTATATTTCCTAGCTGCTTAGAATTCCATATTGATATTTATGCAACATAATTTATATAGATGTACCTACGACCTTGCATGCAATCCATATACAGTTAGATTCAAAAGTGAGTTGGGTGTGCGATCCAAAAGTGATGTTGGCAGTTGTTTGTAACATAGAGGGGCACACTGGTAGCACACCACCCATGGGAGCGCACTGGGAGCACACCACCCATGCTACTATTGCCAGCATTAAGTATAAAAACTTCATGCACATGAGAGATCTTAGAATACTCTTACAAAAAGAAAGCATTTCTGTGTATTTCAAATAAATGCAAAATAACATATCAAACCTGAGCTTAGCCAGCTTTCTGCTGCAACAGACTATGACATCAGGCCTGCACCTGCAAGTGCTCAGGAAAGTGTAGGTGACAGCAGGCAGGCCCTTTGCTTGCTGTGCAGTCTTCAAGGACTGGGAAACCAGCACTCTCTACATTCTTAGGTGTTTAATATTTTTCATGTTTAATTGACTCATAATAATTGTACCTATTTGTGGGGTCCAGTGTGACATTTCAGCATATGTATACAACCTGTAATGATCAGATCAGGATAATTAGCATATCCATCACCCTTGTGTAGGAAACACTCCAACTCTTCTCTACTAGCTATTTTGAATTATATAATTTATTGTGGCCAGCTATAGTTATCCAAAGGTCCCTAAGGATTCTGTCTTCCCAACCCATCAACAGGTATATGCAAGTTCCCTTCTGTGCCCAGTATTGTGCTAGCTAGAAAGAGAGCACAGGGATCGCAAGCTAAATATACTCAATTCCCTGGCAGGGTTTCTATTATAAAAGAAAAAACAAGGCACTTAAACTGCCACAGTGTGGGGCAGGAAGCACTGAAATCCCAGAGGTGGGGAGAGACACAGGGCACTCAGGAGGCAAGAAATGGCAGAGTGGGAAAAACCTAAAGGAGTAGTTGAAGTGGAACCTTTTAACTGAGTGAGAAGAACAATGTAGTAAACCCATCAGACTCCCAGAGGAACATGGGGTTAGATGCTGTTATTCTCATCCTTTCTACTTATCACCAAGATAGTCAACGTATGTCATTCACTAACAGAGAGATACAAAGATAAGGCATTGTCCCTGTCACCAGGGTGGCTAGAGTCAAAAGAAGCCCTGCAGAGAACAGTACTGGGCAGGAAGGAGGGGGCAGGGAATGAGAGCAGGTAGGAGCACAGTCACCAGGAACAGAGACTTGAGCTAGGCAGAGGGTTCTATAGTTGAATATGTGCTATAAAAGCAGAAGCTGTAGTGAGGACATTCCACCAAATCAGAAATGAGCCTGATAAATTTCAGGGACAATAAGAAAGTCAGCCAAGGTGAGTCAAAGGGCAAAGTACCTGTGTGTGGTGCCCACCATCATCCATAGGCAGCAGAAGATCCTGGAACTTTGCTCAGGGGTCTTCCTTCCTTCTCTACACTACAGTCCAGCTTTGTCTGGGGATGCTCCTTGCAAAGGGTGACAACAAAACCAACAGCTGGTTTCCCCTGCCAGGGCTGCTGACCCCAGGAAGGGTGTTCCAAGGGCCCAATTTCAAGGTGCCATCCATCACCTACTCCCACATTCTCCAACCTGACTGAGGTCACCCAGCTGCGGCCCACTGCAGAGAGGTAGGAATGGGTCCAGCCATGTGCTGTGCCAAGAGAACTCAGAGGCCGGTGGGCAGCCTACCATCTCTACCTCACTGAAACTCACGACCTTACCAAGCACCATTGCCAAATGTTAACCGCCTTTTATTTGCACCAGATTTTTATAGTGGAAAGAAAAAAAAAACATCCAGAGGAATCAAAAGCTTTTGGGTCCTACTCCCCATTCCCCTTCTTCCCACTCTGGCAGTAGCCCCCACTATGAACTGCATGGATCTATTCCTCACCCCCATATTCATATATGCCTGTGTTCATATGGATCCATAGAACACTATGTAGTACTGGCTGGTGAAGTACTGAGTTTAGGTAATTGCATTGTAACAAACATATTGTCTCAAACATTTCTGTCTCAGAGATCTATACATATTAAGGATTCAACTCCATTTCTTTATTTTAATGCTTTGTGACAAATCACTATATTTTACATTTTCTTACTCATTCTTCATTGATGAACATTGTTCTCAGGTTTTCTTTTCTTTTCTTTTTAAATTTTTTCTGTCTGAAAATCACAGCACTGAGCTCCTTGTACTTCTACCTATTTCCTGAGGCAGACAATTCCTCCTGATATAGAGAAAATGTCAAAATTCTCCATTCCTGTTCAAATGCAATTAGAAAGCTTTGGTGGGATGCAGAACCCCAAACTAAATGCACTGAACCATGCAAAGGGTGCATACAGAGGAGGTCCTGCCTCTGTGGAACTGCCAGTCCAGCAGGAGGGACAACATGGTGTAAGGCTGTATGTAGAAAGCTCTGGAGCAATGTCCAGACAGCCCCAACATGATTAAGAAAAGGTGCAGTTGATTTGAAGGAGGAAATCTAAAAGCAGATAGTGTAAAGGGGAAACTACATGACTATGGGCTTTTCCAGGAAAGCTTTCCCGAAAGAACTCCATCTTGACAAGGGCCTCAAAGAAAATCTAGGAGTTAAGTGCTCAGGGGTAAGGGTTCAATGCCTAGGAGAGAGGAACATCCTGATGGGAGAACAGCAGAAGCAAGTGCCCCAGGGCAGGACTCAGCATGGAATGTGAGATGTCTGGTCTGGCTGGAGTGTCTGGCTGGGATGAACTTGGAACTATTCTTCCAAAGTTGAGCTCAGCCCCACATTCGGGATGATGTCCATGTGGCCTGTTGCCCCGGGCAGCCAGCCCGGGTGGTATTTTTCCATTACCCTGAGAGAAGAAGAAGTTCAGTCACTTGTTGATAGCAATGTGGCCATTCAAGGAGAAAACAATTAGGGATGCTGAGCCCTGGCCCCCAGAGAGGAGGGAAGGAAAAAATTCTCCCTGGGGGGAAGGGGCTGGGTGGGAAACATCCAAGAGGGTAATTGGTAAATATTATTGTTTCATTCCCTGTTTGCCTGCTCTGCTCTGGTCCCCCTGCGAGTGGTGCATTTAAATCACACTGTCTGACTTTGGCAGGTTTAATTGAGTCGCCACTGAAAAAGAAATTATCCCTGTGCTATTAATTTTTATAGTTCCTCAGGGCTTTTAAAAAGTGTTTGGATTTTCTAGGTCTTTGAAAATGAAAACATTAAATTTTATTAAAAGGAAATGTAGGGGGGCTGGCAGGGCCCAGCCAGGCCCTGACAAGACGGTTTGTGGGAAGGTGGTTTGGGTCCCTTTGAGTCAGTGTGACAAAAAGTTTTGCCCTTGGTAGAATAAGAGGCAGGTGGTCTCCATGGATGTGTGATGTCAGCAAGAGCCACATTCCCCACTGGTTGTGGTGAGTGCTTCAACAATGCCACCCTGTTCCCATGTCCCCTGCGGTGGCAGCCACAGGCTAGCCTGCAGCTGGGAGAGAGTGTGGTGCTCTGTGCAGGCTGAGGAGACACAGGGCAGAACCAGTCTGTGAGGCCCGAAACTTTTATGAACTAGAGGGAATCTCCTAAAACACATGAATTCAAAATTACGAATCAAAAATTATGTTTGAAAGTGGAATTTAACTAAGAAAGAGAAAAGTCACTACAAACTACACATTTTAAGCAGCCGACAAATCCCACAGGCAACACCCAATCTAGAACAACTAGCACATCTGTAATATTTTCCTTCTACATTTCTTTAGCTACAAGTGCTTTGATCATCTTTAAATGACTATAATTTTTCAATATTAGTTTTATAGAGAGAATAGGAAGATAATTCAGTCTCCCCTCTAACGAGTTGATCAAATTTTGTACTTTATTATTCACAGTTTGGAAAGGTGTCTTTCAGCCTTGTAATTTGTCATCGGTAATGCCATGTGAATTTTCGGGATTGCTATTACCTTTGCAAAAACCTCTTTCGAATATCTTTCATATATGAGCTATGAGATTTTCAGGGCATTTCAATTTTTCTATTATAGCGACAAATCTAAAATGCTCTTTGAATTTATGAAACTTACTAACCAGATTGTCATCGATGTCCTCATTGTAGTGGCGTATAATGAGTTTTATGTTATCTCCATCAATGTCGGTATTTCCTGTCAAATCAGCAAGACATTTAAACATGGGGATTCTGATAAATTCTATGTCAGTAATTCCCATCAAAAAAGAAACAAGATGAATAGTGCATTTGTAATTGTATTACTTTGCATGATTGAGTATATTCTTGACAAGAGAGAACTTTCACTTTGACGAGGCAGTGATGAGAATCCTCTGCTTATGACTTCACACACCTGATGATTGGAGGAATTTCCTATGAAGCAGCTTCTGGATCCATGCATTTTAGAACCTTTGTTTCTCTCTCCCATCCACTTCCAGGGCCAGGCATGGCCGGACACAAGCATGCACCACCCCACACTGCAGGTTCCCTTCTGCTCCACACAGAAACCATCTGCACAGTGGGTGTCAGGAGTGGTCCTTGAAGCCTTTCCTACACTTGCCAGCTAGCGACTCGTGAATTACAGAGAAGTGACTACACACCCTGTGAATGCATCTGACTGAACCCATACCAAATACATGCACAATTCAACTGCTACGTACTAGTCTCCAAAGTGCCACTCCAATGGCACATAAAACGAGAGAGGTAGGATGGGAGAGATCAGTGATGAAAGAAATGGTATTATGAACAGATTATGGTTAAAATATCTCACTTTCACCAACTACATAAAAACAGAATGACCTTGTAAACATGTTGTGCTGATAAGTTGAAGTGGCATTAGCATTATGGGACATGCACGAGGAAGATGAGGGAGGGAGAACCCTAAACCAGAGCTGTCAGGGAATCAGCTATGCATTTGGAGGACAGACATGGCCCAGAACTACAAACAGCCAAAACTGGACAAAGAAATTGAAGTGGGATTTTGTATGGTGCAGACTTAAAAAGCAGACAGGCAGGTGATCAAATTGGGCTGGGAAGGCCCAGGAAGGTAGAAGGTAGAATTTGAGCTGGATATGATCAAGATGGCCGAGGAAGCATTCTCATGTATCCATGTGTATGTGTTTGTGCATACACATGTTCATGCACACGTACATGAGATATACTCTCTGGGTATGCGTGTGCCTCACTATACGCCTATGTTGTGTGTTTGTGTGGGTTGGGAGGAATTAAAGATGAGCATGAAGTCTGCAGGGGAAGTGACCTTGAATCATGGTGGACATCAGTCTGACAGATGACACTGAGACCCTCAAAAGTGAGGCAACTCACCCAGGTTTCCATATTTAACCAGTCGTGGAACTCAAGCTATCCCCAGGCCTCCCGGATACTCTCCCCCACAGATATAAGTTCCTACCCACCTGCAGCCTCTAGCTGCTCTCCAGGACTGCAGCAGTGTGCCCTGACCCTCGTCTCCCCAGGTAGAGCGCCCTTCCAGGGACAGGAAGAAATGCCAGTGATTGTGATGGCCCTCTACCTCCTCCTCCTAAGGGGTCACTCTGCTGTTATAAATCATCCCAGCCAGCCCTGACTCTGGCCTTGCCCTTTTGCCCTGGCTCTTCAGCTCCAGCTCTGTCCCCATGCAAAGTCACAAGGCACCAGAGTGTTAAGTGGAGGATGAGTTAAGGAAAGATGTGGGTTTTGCTTCAATGACAGAGCACTGCTCCTTAAGGAAACAAAGCAGGGGTGGGTCACTTCTGTTGCAGAAGTAAGAACTTTAGATGGTTTACCCACTTTTTCAGGGAAGGAAATAAAGTGGAATAACCTAATATCAGTTCAAATAACAAAACAAGGAATAGTCATGGTAACTTTGAATTTCCTACCCTGTGCTGGGGACTCAACTCCATACTATCACTTCTCTGATCACCCATTCTACAGACAGGGAAACTGACATTTGATGAATTTAGAGAGTTTTATCAAGGGACACAACTAGAAGTAGCAGGCCCAGGTTTTAAATTCAAATAGTCTGACTTCAGAGCATGTGTTCTTAACCATCATGATACACTGTGTTCATGGAAGAAAATAGAATAATCCTCCCATATGCACAGAAACTTAGCCAGATCCCCTAAAACTTGGGAACACATAAAAATCCTCTAAATAGAAAAGTAATGGCTACTCTTTCCCTACTGTTACCCCACATGTGTATACACACACACACACACACACCACATCCATGACACCACTCACCCCAGCCTCCCCAGCCCAGCCAGACTTTTTTCCTTGTGACTATTCCTCCTCCCCCAATTAATGCATCATCCAGCAATTTGCTGATCTCTGATTCCTGTTCAATCTCCACCTCGACCTGGGGTACTTACAAATCTTGCCTCTCATTATTTCGGTGTATTAAAAAATGAATCCTGGAGGTGGGAAGATTCTCTCTCCACTAACTGGTAACTGCAGGGCAGCTTGGCTTGAGAATGCTTCTAGCTTTGCCCAGGTCAGGTTCATGAGACGTGTTGGTGAGGGCTAGAAGCTGGGAAGATTTCAAAGTACGTTTATTGTCTGTCTGTGTGACATGCTTTCAAGTGACAACCAGTGTTGCAGTCTTATCTGGTCAATGGGAGTCTGGTGACTTATTGGAGCTGAGGATTTGAGGAGATCTAGAAGGGACTCACTCTATCCCCCTGTCTCAACTTACATGTGTGCTCCCCTGTACCACCAACAAGGAGAGAAAGGGCCAAAGAATCACCCTGCACAGATGAGGGGACCAGCTCTGAATCTTCCCCCTAACTCTTGCCACTGGAGCAATCCGCTTGCTCCTGCAGAGAATTCAGGCCATGTCTCCCTCTCAGGCTGAACTCATAAATCCCCATCTGTGGGAACAGCCCCCCCTCCCCTTTCCAAGCGGAGATAGACAGAGATGCTGGCCCAGACACAGGGTGTGGAAACTTCCACTGGCCTGTATTTGACCCCTCTGCCTCCAAGTTTTTGCATCTTAAAGGGACCCTGACTGATAGAGAGCAAGCTAGCTTGGCAGCCCAACCAACTGCTCATTTCCAGCTGTTATCCGTGAACAGAGGGAAGCATCTCTGTTTCGTTCAATACCTGGAATGCCTTAAAAACCCGAAAAGAATCAGAGTGCTCCTTAAATTCTGAAGAGTTGAGGTTATCTTTGCCCTATTTGTAAAAAAGCTGACCTATGTTCAGGGACTAGCCAGGCGAGTGTGGGGCACTCTGGAGTGTGAGGGAGGCAGAATTCCTGTCACTAGACTCCTGCCTGGAGCAAGCCACCCGCCCCTGGGCCTCCACCAGGGGTGGGGTTGTTGGGTTCAAAATCGAAATGGTCAGTGACCTCAAGATGGGGCCTAAAGAACAGCCTGCTTCACAGGCAAGGGTGGATAGTTCCATGAATAACACACCCCACTCTGGGTGTTTCAGGACAAGACCACAAAAATGTGAAGAAAGGCAGCCATGGTCTCTCACAGACCATACCTCAGGGTCCTATGTCAGAAGAGGGACCATTGGCTTCACCTGGCTGTTCTTTCTCAAGTTCTTAAACTCAATTCCCTGCAATCAAATCAGCCAAGTGTTGAGTTATCCTTGTCCCCACATCCAGCCACCATGGAGGTGCCCAGCTTCCAATCCTGAGACGCTGGGGAACTAGACACTCAAACAGGCAGCACCGATATCCTGATCCTGAGGAGCAGCCCCTTTTCTGTGTCTTGCTAAAAGAGTCTTCATGTCCACTACGTCCTCATGCCTCACCAGCTCTGCCTCAGGAGCTCTGTGGCCTGTGGCCTCTGGCCTGTAGGACTGTGTAACGGTCAGCAATAGGGCATACACAATGCGTCACTACCTGTGACTGGCTCTCTGGCTGGCCCCTGTGGCACTTCTGCCCCAGAAGCAGGAGACTAGTCTGGCTGGAGGGGAAGGGTCGTCCTCAGTGTGGCTGGCTAAGTATCTTTGGGCCTCCCCACTCAGGGCACATGGTCTGACTACATTTCCTGTTCATCATGATAGGCAGAGCCACAGGAGTGGTTCTGGCCAATGTTTGTGAGCAAAGCATCATGCCATGATGCTTTGGGCTGGAGCATCTAATTGCCAAAGCAATACCTGGGGAACATCCTTTTCTCTTTGGTATGAGGACCAGCGATATTCAGGAAGTCAGTTCCTTTGTCAGCCTGAGTCCCTGAGTGAGAATGTAGAGCTGAGGCCAGCACCCACCAACCGTAGACCATAGCAGGTATTTAGTATGAGCAAGCACTAAACCTTGGTTGTTGGAACCCACAGAGACTTGGGAGTCTGACTGCAGCACAGTCCACCCCACCTGAGGGAGGCTGGTGGGAGTCACCTGGGGCTAGGGAGAGCCGTGTGCTGAATGCTGTGGGATTGGTGGCAAACTATAGATGCAGTAAAACAAGATGAACTCATTGCAAGTGGCTTGTCATGCTCTGAGGGCACTCCCAAGAGACTGAGGAGGATTTAAATAAGCTTGGTGAGAACAAGAAGAAGTAGCCATTTTGCCCCATTTTGCCCTGAATGTCAGGTGCTAATTCAAGCCCTGGTTGCTCTTCCAGCATTTCACTTGTTAGGAGGACGCCAGGCCTCAGTTACATCCCGCAAGACTCACCCCTCTCATCCCACTGCCCCTCAACACACAGTTTCAACCCTCTATTTATTTATATCTTCACTCACCCTTACTTCCAGTCTGAGAAAATACAGACTGCACCCTCCTCCTGTCTAAATCCAATCCTTCTTCTCCACTGGTTCCATACCAAGAGCCTATAAATGCTCTCAAACCTCCCTATCAAATTAAAAATTATCTCTCAGCCTTGAACCAACCCTTTTACTCTGGTCTACATTATCCATTAATATACCAATTCTACTCTTCTCATCCCTTTGAATCCACTAGGAGCTTCCTCCTCACAAAATAAAATTCAAGATTTAGGGATCCAGTGCTATAAAAAGCAACTCAAGGTGTATTTAATCTAGATTTCCTATCTCGTTCCTGGCCAGCAACAACCATCTCAGAACCATATATCTAGGAAATCAATATTCTATGAAATAGGGATTTCAAGGGGAAAGTTCACCCTGGCTGACTACATGTGGGTAATTAGGTAAGCAGTAGTGACAATGGGCCTGATTTACTATGAAATGCTCATGCCATTACGGTAAAATTATTTGGCTCATTAAGCAATCTATCTGCCAAGAGTGCAGACACACACCAAATACCCACTCCAAATGACAGAAGGATGGAAGGCAGGCGTCCTCGGGACACTTCCCAGCTATTTCTGACCAACTATGTGGCCTTGAGCTTGTCACATACCGTCTTCAAGCTTCCATTTGCTGCCTACTCACCTCTGACCTTTTTTCTTTTTTTTTTTTTTTTGAGCTAGGATCTGGCTGTGGCCCAGGCTAATCTGGAAGTCTGGAGTTCCTGGGCTCAAGTGAGTCTCCCTCCTCAGGCTCCAGAGTAGCAGAGTAGTACCTACTTCTACTCTGAGAATTTGACTAAGAGCCCAGCAATGACCTTTCAGATTGCAAAATTCTTTGACTTTTCTCTCTCTCTCTCTCTTTTTTTTTTTCTGTGCTAAATTGTAGAGTTGTCAAAAATGAAGAAAGAATTGGAACTGGATCAATTTGTTCCAGATAAGCAGGAAAAAAAAGTATCTTTCATCCTGTAGCAAGTGTGTGCCATTGAGGGGGATCAGCTGGTGAGCGTTGATGTGGACCAGTCCGTGGTTAGTGTCCCTTAAGAGAAGGGAAACAGAAAGAGCACAGCCCTCTGTTCTCATCCCAGCCGCATCCCTTAGTAGCTGTGTGACTTTAAACATGTCACTTAACTACTTTAGCTCTAAAATTCTATGACATCTCACATGTTCTTGAAGACCCAGGCTGCAGACTCCTCAAACCCTCACCTTGAAACGAAGCTTTTCTTGGTTTATCTGGTTGTCAACCCAAATGGTAAATCATAAGGCACTCTGCTCAAAGTCCACCTGTGCTATGTGTGCTCAAATCCTAGGGTCTGGGAGTGACTCAGGAGTAAGAGCGTTTGAGAAAAGGCACAGCTTCTAGGCACCAAATCTGCTGTTTTCTGGAACACAGTACATGAGCAACTTGGAAGCATAAAATTCTAAAAAATCTTAGCCATCTCTTACATTTACAAAGTACAATAAGATGAAGTCTTCAAGCAGTGTGACTTTCATCACCCTGGTTGATCCCCGCAGGATTCATATTCTGGGTTCTTCCAGCTAGGGCCTGGGCAATACAGCAAGAACATGGATGCAGGCCAGGGCCTGGCCCACACACCTGCTCCTGGAGCACAATATAATACCTAACTTGATTGTGAAGCAAGAGCAGGGAGAGTGCTATGGGACTTAAAGCTATGAATAACATTTCCTTGTTTGCTGTGTTAAACAGATACAGAGGAACTGTGGCATTTGTTTGAACATAAGGAGACTAGGGTCTTTTTTATTGTTCTGGGTTGAATCCCAAGTCCGTAGGTGGCATTCACATAGCAGACAGTCAGTAAAATTGTGATGAGCAAATGAATGAATGCATATCCTATATGAATTTTTAAGCTAAAACTTGAGACTTTAGGAAAATGATATATTACTTACTACAAGTGTGTCATATTAGCTGTGTCACACTCTTCTGTGGCATTGAAGCACTTCCCAAAGATGGATTCACTCCACTTTACAGGGGAGAAAGTAGAGAGTTTAAGGTAAATAAATAACATGCTCAAGGATACACAACCCATAAGGAGTAGAGACCAGACAGGACACTTGCCCATGTGACAAGCATTTATTTAATAAATTTTGTGGGCTGGGTATTGAGTTGGTTGCACTTTGAAACACAATGGAGCCAAGAGGGTCTCTGCCCCATCTGGCTTCCTTCTGGCAGCCCTGCTCTTGCCTCTGGAAAGCTGTCTGTCCCTGGGGTCCTTCTCTCTAGCCATGACACCATGAAGCCCCCAGTTTTTCTCAGGCCCTGACAATAAGCCTGCCGTCCTTTGGCAAATCCAAGGATTTGCTGGTGGCTGCTTTGGGGCTGCAGAAGAGAGCATAAAAAATAAACATGAGATGGCTGTAATATTCTAAGAAATCAGACAATGTTTTACAGTTAGGGTCTCTGGGCACCATGCAGAAGTCCTCACAGGCTACACCCTGAGTCCCACCATTAGTCCACTCAGGGGGCCCATAACTTATGTTTCTCCTCTGGGTCCATATTTTGTAATATGGCAGCCAAGATCACACATGCCTGCCAGACTCTCCATCCTGCCAAGATCATGGCAATCAGCTCTATTATTTCAAGAGCCACCAGAAATCAGAGACAACCAACATCTGCTACAACAGAAGCATTTCCGTACTGGGCAGAGCACAGTTCAGGTCACTGGGGTAGTAGAGCCTTGCTTGATATCTGCAATGACATCTGAACCCTTGGGGTGGTGGGTCACAGCCCTGGTTGCACATCAAAATCTCATTTGGGGAAGGTTTTAAAACATAACCATGCAATGTACCCCTGGACCAATTAAATAAAAATCTCTGGGGCGAAATCCAAATTTGGATTTTTTTTTTAAAGCTCCCCAGCGATTCTCACTGAGAACTACTGCCATGATGAACTTGCTTCCTCCCCTCAGCGGGGCTGAAACTGTGTTTAGACTAGTCTTTAAAACTGTTAGGAGTCAATTAACACCTGTGTATTTAGACTGGCTCCATTGAGCCGGCCAAGCACTTCTCAAGATAGGGTTCACGGTTCAGGTCTTGCTTCTTCCAGAAAG